TCGGCAAAAACTCGATTTACTGATGAAAAAAAACTATAAAGTTTCGTTGAGATTCTGTTTTGAACAAGCGTTTTTTGCTTTTCAGCAAAAATTGCCGCAGCAAATGGAATCATTATGCTTAACGGATTATCCAGCAACATTTGCAGCTTCACCAGTGCCGTACATGGTTTCTCCTCCGCCAGCACAGGCTGTTTATCCACAACAGGCAACTGCTTTTCGAATCCGAAAAATTGGCTAGTAATTGATTATAGGGCCTGCTGCATCACTTACAGAAAAAATTGACTTGAAAGGCGTTTCATAATTATTAGTGTTTTTCTTCTATTGCAGTTTGCGGTACCATCCCAGGTCAGCGCCGTGTATTCGCCACAGCCTTATTTCGTCCCAGTTTTGCCGAGAAATTATGGTACGTTTTTCAATTTATTATCACACTAATAACAGATTTTACTGCTGCTTCTTTTGGGCATAAAATTGGTGGCTCATCCGATTTTTATGCATTTATGTGGATGAGTTAATTTCCCATTCTGTGTGTATCTTTTGCTCTGTGTGTATATATGTATGTGTGTGTGTGTGCCCAGATAATTTGACTTCAGACCACACCTTATACTGTCTGTGTTTACAGCTTAGGGATGAAACACAGGCAGACGAACTTTTACATATTCCTCCTTACATGACTCTTTTACATGTCACACGGCTTACATATCACATTAACGACCCCACTATCTTTCTTGTCATTATCCCATTAGCTAATCCCCCCTCTCCCACTCACCCCTGTAAAATTAATGGATTTTTGCTGTTCCGTGTTTTCCGCGGCTCGGACTGGCTGTTGCTTCAGAACGTTTGGTTCGGCCTGTTAATGGCCGAAAAAAATTTTTATCAATTCAGCGCAGTTCGGGCGCCTCACTTGGACCGTCCATTTTTCATCCGGCCATCTACTAATGGTCCTTACATTTCAAGAACTACAAAGATTGTTTTAATTGCATATTTAAATCAGCTTAGTAACAGATGCATACCTATAGTCGCTAGGACAGTCGGGAAAGGATTTCGTGCTAGGGATTTTACTGAGATGAGCTCACACTCCGGGTGTAGCTATTTCATACTTACAGATCTTGAGCTGCAGTGACTCT